ATCCTGGGCCGTCTTGGGGCCCTCGTCGGGGCCTCGTGGGCCTTCTTGGAGCGATCTGAAAGACCTCCGAGGCCGTGAGGGAGCGCTGCAAAGCGGGAAAAGCGAGAACGCCAAACTCCAAAACACTCGGAGAACGAGTGAATCTTGCCTTCCAGGGGCCTCTTGGGGAGCCTCTTGAGTCCGTCCTGGAGCGTGTTGGAGTCCTCATCGGCTGTCTTGAGGGCATCTTTGGCGTCTTCGGGGCATCGTGGGACCGTCTTGGGTCCTCTCGGGATCCCCTTAGCCTGTCGTGGCCTGCTTCGGGGCGGGCTCGGGCCGCCTCGGGAGCTCTGGACCCCCCCCCGCAACCCCTGGTGGGCACCGATGGGGGGAACAGGCAACTGCCCGCCCCTCCCCCCGGGCCTACTCCGAGATAGAGAATCATGATCCCGGGAAGCTTTCCGGGAGCATGATTTGTTCGGCTCTCTAAGAGGGGGGCCTCTGGAGGCTTACCGAGGGGGCCTTTTGGCCTTGTTGGCAAGGCTATTGGAAAAATGTTTGGGGCGGTGGGCGGAAGCCCAAGGAATGAATCATGTTCCCGGAAAGCTATCTGGGAAATACCATTTACCGAAGTGTCTTGGGGGCCCGCAACGGGCTTCCCTGGGGGTCCCTTGGGAGCCTGTTGGGGCTTCCAGGAGGCCTCTTGGGAGCCTCACGGGGCTTCTTGCAACATGGGAGCCTCTTGATGGCCTCCGGGGGCGTCCTAGGAGCCTCTCAGGCCAGAGACCTCGAAATGTCGCGCTCTTCGGGCCCTCTTGGGTCGCTCTTGGGGCTCTCTTGGGGCGCTCTCGAGGCCCTCTTGACTTATCTGGGGAGCCTCCTGGGCCGTCTCTGGGCTTTCTTGGGAGCCTCTTCGGCCGTCTTGGAGCGATCTGAAGGGCCTCTGACGCGGTCCGGGACCGGGAACATGGGAGAGCGCAAGAATGCGTCAAAACCATTGGTAAATGGATGATTTTCGGCTTCTGGGGCCCTTTGGAGGGGCCTCTGGAGGCGCTCGTGGGGCGTTTTGGCGGCGTCGTCGTCCGTCCTGAGGCCATCTTCGGCGTGTCCGGGGCCTCTGGGGGCTGTCTTTGGGCGTCCTGGGAACCCGGAAATCATGTTCCCGGAGAGGCTTCCGGGACATGATTTCGAACGAGGGTCTTGGGGGCCTCCTGGGCTGGATTTGGGGCCTCTTGGGCCGTCTCGGGGGCTGGGACGCCGAAACCCTGTAAAAACACATGGAAGATGAGCCCCGATACTCCCATGGAGGGTCGAGGCAGCTGTTTTCGGGCCCCGGGCCTGCCCCCCTGGGAGGGGTGTGTATATATATATATATATATATATGTATATATATACACATACATATATACATATATACATATATACATATATACATATAGATACATCGACACCCCTGTGTATCGGTCAAACTGCCAAGTCATCGATGCAAACACGAACATGCCAATCGGTAAAACTATCGATCTCACTATACATACATCTGGGCTGACACGAACACCGTTTGCGAACATGTGTCCCCGAACCGTTTACGAACCGTTCCTTTTGAACCTATTCTTCTTCCCCTCCGCCAAGCGACCGTGGACCAGGCCCTTGGGGGCCTTGGAATTCGCGAACTTATGGTTTCGAACCGTCGTTGACGAACCGTTTGCGAACATCCGAACACGAATATGGCCCCCCACCTTCCGAACATTATAGGGCACGCCTAGTATATACATGTATGTGCACCAAGTGCCCTTGCCATGAATATGTCTGTCAATCCCACTAATGATCGATCAAGCTGACGACTCATACAACCACTAAGCAACCACTGGACAACCAAGGGACACAACGGAACAAACATGGGGCAACTGCGGGACAACCACGGGACACCCACGGGACAACAACGGGACAACTGCGGGACAACCACGGGACAACCACGACACAACCACGGGGGAACAACCAAGGGAATAGACTCAACCGCGCGACACCTACGGGACACCCACGGGACAAGCACGGGACAAGCAGAGGACAAGCACGGGACAGCCATGGCGTTCGACAGGTTGCGCAGTCAAGATCAGCGTACCAATACCACTATCAAGTCCTATGAAATATCGGTATCACGATCACTCGATCGACCTCAACTCAAATCAATATATCCCGTTCACTGCCCATGGTTTCCCTTAACAATCTATCAATCATACGATCACTCCATGCATCGAAATCAATACTTCCCTGCCGGTCTCACTTTGTACAGACGAGACAAACAAAAGACAACAAAAGAACAACCACGGGACACTCACGGAACGACCACGGGACAACTACGAGCCAACAACACGACAACCACGGAACGACCCACGCGACGACCATGGGACAACCACAGGGCAACCACAGGACAACCACGGGGCAACCACGGGACGAACGCGGGGTAACCACGGGAAAACAATAGAACAACCGCAGGAGAACCCCGGGCTCACCACGGGACAATCACAAAACAACCACGGCACAACCCCAGACACACCCCGGCGGACCAGAGGGAGTCGGCAGACAATGAGGAGGGAGCAGGGAGGAAGGAAGCGGAGTGGGGAGAGGAAGCACGGAGGAGCACGAAGAGGACAGAGGATGAGAAGGCAGGGGTTCTGAGAATGTGGGGGCCCCAGGCGTGCTCTCCGCCACGACCCCTTCCACGCCCAGCCTCTATCCATTTTCCATCCTCGTCCCTCCATCCCGCACCCTACCCTATGACTCCTCCGATCCCCGCGTTGTCTCACTCCCTCCCTCCCCAAGCTGGTAACCAGTGGTGACAATTGAAGTCACACGAGCAAACGAAAATTGGCGCAATTCAAACTACAAACTCGCAAATCGTGAAACAATCAAACGCGTAATCGCGCAATATCGGATGCGAGTAAGACGACCATGTTGCCGTGGATGTCGGCACTCATGGAAACATTCAAGTAAGCAAGGGAACAATACATGATTCGATCAAGCGCAATCCAAGCAAGCACCCAAGCAAAAAGGTACGCAAACACGTATGCATGGAAGAAAACATGCGCTCATTCAAGCAACCGAGCAAGCGACCGTGCACGGCAATCAACAAGAGACTTTACGACGCGAGGGCACCGACGATGTCAAGGGCTTCCCAACACACCGGCAGCAGGCCAAGAGGAACACCAATAATGATTCCAACTAGCATGAAGGCACGCGGCACGCAATCAAGGCGACGTGTTCGGGGCGTCAGTTTAACCAGGACAGCCTCCACAACCAAATTTGCAGAAACCAATGTGGTCGCGCGGCTCGCCAACCGATTTGTATCAACACGAACGTACGAGACGCTCAATGCAAACACCGCTCGAAAAAACTTACAGTTGTCGGAACCAGAGGGTCCCAAGATCGACGTACGCCAGACTTCCCCAAACCTCGCCGCGGCGCCTGTGCTTGACATGCTTACAATCCTTGCTCTGGTCCCAGAAGTCCACGCAAACGAAAACCGTATCGCTGCCGATGCCAGCCATCAGGAAGAGCGACCTCCACTCCTGCTCTCTCTCATCACTCTCCACCCTCCCTCCTTGGGCGTGAGCGCCGGAGCCTGACATGCCCTGCTGGCAGGAGCAGGGGCCTCCCCCTCCACCTCCTGCTCGTCTCCCATTCTCATCTTTCCCTTTTTGCTTCTCTCCCTCCCCTCCTCCTCCTTGGTCCTTGTCCTTCTCCTCCTCCTCCTCCTCCTCCTTCCTCCCCCCCTCCTCCTCCTTCCCCTCCTCCTTCTGTAAGCTGACCATCAGGCAGACCGCCCTCCTGCATACTCTGTCAGGCAGGGAGTCGAGGCACCGCAGCTGTCGACAACCATGTATGCACTGCGAGGCCGCTGCAAAACTACGTTCATGAATTCCCTGCCGCGAACTTCTCGCCTCGTGGAGAGGAGAAGCAGTAAGGAGCAAGGGAGGGAGGAGGCGGAGGGAACAAAAAGGAGGAGGAGGAGCAGGAAGAGGAGGTCGAGGATAAGGGATGAGGAGGAAGGGGGAGCAACACTCAGCGTATCAACAACCAGCCCATCCTCCATTTCGAGGAGTCGGTTACCCGTCCTCCAGTCCCTCCCCCATTGTGTGGTGAACCCTTTTCAAAGGCACGCCATGACGGAGGGGACGATACGGCACTTTCCTTCAAGAGGCCAAACAACTCATATCAGTGAAACGGCTTGAGCCAACAGAGAAACCTTAAGCTCATGGGATATATTCCAAAAATTGACAGTGGGCCCAATTTTAGTGAGCTTAAGATCCCTGTAAACTCCGTCGGCGCGCTCTAGCTTAAAAGCCGCAATCGCACAAGGGCTGCACACACGCACAAATCTGCCTGACCACACCGGGTCAAAGAAACTAGCTTGCCTGCTCGAAATATGGAGGAGAGCTACTTGAAACGAGATACTCTGGTGTCGCGAAACGGACGAATTCGGCACGCGTCCCGGGGAGACAAGAAAGAAAGGGAAACGGAAAACGGCGGACACGAAAGAAAGAGAGAAAGAAACGGAACAAGACGAAACGGACGGTCGGACGGTTCGTCTGGTCGAGGTGTACGATAATCAAGTCGATGAAACATACTACTCCTCGGAGTCCTGTGAAACTGCATCACCTGAAGACTTCTACTGGGTACGTTCTAAGTACCTGCAAGACGCTGCTTTGGACCTGCACCTGGACTTGGGACATGCCTTACGCTCGGACAGAGACTGCTCCTCGGATGCCAGCCTGAGGGCCCCGGACCGAAGCAACTTGAACTGGGCGGCATTTCCCTTCAGAACGTCTGAATGGGTCATGATGTCCACCGGCATCGCTGGATGGGGCACCCACCTGATAGTACTGCCCAGCCTCCTCATCACTTCTCTCACTACCGACAGGTCGACCGCGATACGGCGGTCCGCTTTGGACCCCGTGGTTTCCCGGTCCAGGGCGTCGCATATACCTCTGGCGTCCACGACGCTCACGTTGGACAGGGGGTCGCAATTGAGCCTGCTGTCTCGGCGAAGCACGGCTGTGAAAGGGCCGACATGATCTCTCCACGATTCGGACAAGAGGCCCCCGACGGTAACATCTAAGCACAGCATCTGCAACCGCTCCGCCTCCGCCAAGGCGCCACTCAGTGCCAGAATTTCTCCCCCGAGGGTCGAGGGAACCAACCTTCTGACCTTGGAAGATCTCCAGGAAATGGGGGCCACTCTGGCCAGGTTGCCTTCTCGGAGAGAGCGGTCTGCTGCAAGAACCTGCCACGCCTGCTGAATCCGATCTGGTCTGTCCCCGCCCGCCCCTCCACAGTCACTGACCGTGCCGAATATCATAGACCCAGGGCGATACTTCCAGACTGTGATCGGGGCACTGGCCGAGTTGCGGAGAAGATCCACGGCTTTGTTCGCTTGCAAGAGATCCCCTACGGTGGGATTGTTAACAGTAGATGCCAATATAGACGCTGTCCCGGAAACCTCTGCCCTCGTCTCCTTGCCCACCCAGGATAGCCGATAGACCAAGGATCTGAACTGCGCCTGTTCTGGACCGAGCAGAGGCGAGCTGTGATTTCCTCTGCGGCGGCGGGGGATATTAATCTTGGACAGGGACTCGAGGATATATTTCTCCTGATCTACCAGCACTCTGTCCTTCTGGAATCTCAGCCTTCGGCCGATATACTCGACCCCTGTCTCATCGATGGGGCGTAGCTTCCCGAAGCGGAATCGTTCCTGGAAGGTCTGGAGGCGCTTCTCCGCGACGGAAGGATGTGCGGCGATGGCCCAGTCGCCCACCTCGACCAGGACCTGGCTACGAAGATCGCCCCCTGGAGCTCTCTCGTAAAACCAATTGGTTTCCATCATGCTCTTACGATATCCGATCTTCTGGAAGAGCTCTGCTGTGGTGCGATGCAGTGCCAGAGGGGCATCGTCGAGTCCGTAGACCAGTGCAACTAGTTCTATAATGGCCCCCGGCTCCAGGGTCAACCCCTCGCAGGGCTCCACAAACACGCGCCCGGACTGCCTCTTCAGCTCGTAACTCTGGCAGAAAGCATTTTTGAGATCCCCGATGAACAACTTCAGATTGTACATCAGCGACACTACTAAGAATAACATCAGGGACTCCATCTGTGGCGTAGGAGCGTAGACCTTCAGTTCTGCCGTGTCTGCGTCCTCGTGGCCTCTCACGCACCAACGACTCTTTGCTTTCGGACCAGAGTATGCGCCCTCCTGGGGCTTCCATCGTCGCACCATTCGGCTGGACACAATACGGCTAGGGAAGTCTCTTCTGATGACGTGCGCCACGCGCGGGGGTGCACGCGGACGGCTCCGGGCCCCGGGAACGGCCTCCCACTCCGACTGATCGGAAATGTCGAACTCAGCTTTCTCCCGAGGATCCAGTTTTTTCTTTTGGACCTCCTGGCCCTTCGCCGCGGCGAGAGAAAGACTGTGCCCTGGGGCCCCCGCACGGACGTCCACGTGCACGTCTGCATTGCCATTCAAATAAGTGCGCCAATCTCCGCTCCATCCGCAGAAAGAAAAATGCTCATTCAAAGACGTGTAGAATGACTCGTAGAGGTCCTGCTCGTTCTGCTCCTCCTCCTCATGCGAGAGCAGAGTCAGGGCATCGGGGACGTCCTCGTCTACCTCGGCCAAGAGAGTCAAACCTGCGGTCCTCTCGGGAGTTCGGGACCTGTCTCTGGCGGCCTCTGGACCTCCAGGCACTTCGCCGCCTCGGCCCCGGGGTTCCAGCTCGGACACTTGTTGCCTAACACGACCGTACGGGATGCCTCCGAAATCTTCCCCCCTGGTAGGTAACCTCCTGGCCATGGGGCCCAGGTCCATCAGCTGGTTCCGGCGCGCGGCTCTCGAGGCGGAGTCCGACAAGGCACGAGGATCGTGGGCAACAGGGTCCATGGTCACGTCGCCAGCGCTCTCTCGGACGCCCCCGGAAGAGAAGGGGGGAAAAGCCGAGTCCCCCTGGGCCCCCCGACCCGAATCTGCACCTCCGGGATGCTCCCCTGGAACCCCTTTGGACATAGCTCTCCCCGTCGAGGCTACGTCGCTGCTGGGAGCCGCGGTGGAAGGTCCGGGGGGCGAAGGCTCCGGCTGAGGCGGTTCGGCGACGCTCGGTCCGCCCTCTTGGGGAAGAGCGGCGGCCCTGGGAGACGTACTTGAGTCTCCCGGAGATGTACTTATCCCTCGGGCTGAGGTACCTGTCCCTCGGGACGAGGGCCCCGCAGTTCCCGTGTCTCCTGCGGGGGCGTCGCTCCGGGAAGGCGGCGGGAAGGGCGCCAGACCGCCCGAGCTGTCCTGGTCGCGGCTCAGGGGCCCGGACCAAGCTTCGTCGGGAGGGGCCCCCTCGCTGGACACGTCCACTCCTGCTCTGTGATGACCATTCTGGCCTCTCGGATCAGCTCCATAACAGCTGGGTCAAAGAGAACCTCGGCGCCCCGGGACTCCGCAGAAGACGCTTCCCGGACTTGCCCGGAGGAGCACTTCAGAGACGGGGTCGCATAGCGACCCAGACGGCGTTCTGGGCCTGAAGGATGACGACCCGGGGCCCCGCCCACCTGTCTCGCTGGAGAGCCAGACTCTTGCGACCGGATCTGGCAGCCCGACGCCGCACATACACCCACTGCCCAGGCGCGAACGTCCTGTCCTTGTGCCTGCGTCCTCGGGCGGCTTCTTGAATCTTCTTCTTACTCGAAACCCGAAAGAGCTCCCTTCTGGCGCACTCCCGGATGGACGCCTCTCTAGCGAAATCGGCCGCGGCGGTGTCGCAATCCCAAGACGTTTCAAGAAGACCCGAGGAACCTACAGTGGACACAGCATCATCCGCTAACACATCGTTGGGCATACGGGGATTCTGACCCAGGACCAACTGGTACGGCGTGAATCCGCCTCGGTGAAGGTACCTGTTTTTAGAACTGACACTGCCGTGCATTAACCGTTCTGAGTCCTGAGTGGACGATACGACCTGATCCTCCATGCCCTTCAAGAGTAGGTCCTTGACGCACCCGCCGTGTCGCTCAGCGCGCCCATTCTCCCATGGACTGTCGCTGTTGACAACGTGCTGTAGGATACCGTAGTGTGCAACGCAACGTTCAAATTCCGCTTGAAATTCTGCCCCCCCCCCCCCCCCCCCCCCCCCCGTCGCATAATCTCATGTCTGGGGGTCCGAATTATCTCAACCAAGAAGACAGAAACGCGTTCCAACAACCTTTAGCTCCTCCGGTGTACAGCGTGACGACATGGAAGTTCGTGCCGTGGCACACGATGTTTAAGAACGCGACCTGCTGTTCCTGTATGTTCACGAAAAAATGTCTATCCGCAGGACCCGGTTAAACTGGAAGGTGCGCGGCATAGCCACTCGACGTCTCTCAGGCGGCCTACGCTGGGCCTCGCAGGCGTCACACCTGAAGTGTTTTCGAACAAACTCGAGAATGTCTGGCTTCGACTGGGCCGCGCGCAAGACCTTTGTAAACTGATCAGTCTGAGGGTGTCCTAGGTTGACGTGCAGCTTGTGCACCATGGCTCT